AAGAGCAAAAACCAACAAGCGTATAAAAAGAATACAAATTTTAACTGTTCAGAAGCTGCTGCATGTGTTGTGATGTGTTTGAGGCTGCACACGTCCAATGTGTCTCGGGTGCCTTGGCCCCCTGTGGTTGGCCCGTTCAGGTAACTACTCAGGTCGTGTACAGAGCGTCCTCTAAGCCTTTATCTGAAACATTATTTTTGTCAACTTCGCAATAATTAAGGAGCGTCATGGGGCTACAGGTCACTGCTGCTGCTGGCGCCTAATTATCATCGCTCTTGCCTGGACCACGCCATACCATTGGTTGTGACTCTTATTGAGGCAGGGCTGGAGTTAGCCGCGGGAGCCCTACCCAAGTAACGGCCGCACATTCTCGAAAAAAAACGAAGTCATACAGTGCGTTGTCATTACCAACGAGGGACCTTTAATGCCGTCAAACTGGGCGGCTTAAAAGCCTGCGCACCAGCAGGTAATTACAACCAAGCAGTACACCTAGGCGAGACACAACGAATACACGCTTTTTACCGCCGTGCACTCTGACCCTTCTGTTCAAGAAGATTGACATGTTTTTAGCTACGCATACAGTTCCAACTAATGGCTCCAGATGGACCCACACCCGCGCGTCCCAGGGAATCCCCACTTCTGCTTGGGCACTTCGCAAAACTGCTGCACCTTTGCCTAACGCCTGCTTTGGTTGCCTTGTGAAGCTTCGCTGATTTTACAGCGTTGCATACTCATGAGCAGTGTCCTGTACACATATTGTAGATGGCACAAACTACTACTTAGGCCACTGCACCGTTCTTTCTGCGCTGCCTGAGGAGGCAGGGTGCTCACGCGCAGTGAGCAGGCTCGCGAAACACACCACTGTGCGAACATAGCCAATCTGGAAGAAGCATGGTGGCAAGGGAGAAATAAATTTGAAGGCCGTGCGACTGAAAGTAGAGACGAAAGGAAGTGGCTTAGCAGCGGACACTGTGCTTGTGGAGCCACTGCCTACGCAGGAGCTCTACACACGCAACTGCAAAACGAACAATATAGCCATACATGCATTTTCAAAGCTGTTTGTGTAACTCTGTTCTCTCTTGGTCTTGATGGAAGAGACTGCGTCGCCGCATTCGTAGGGCATGTTTTATTAGATACACCCAACAATGAACTGGCCGTAATCGAGAGTGATAAAAGAAAGTCACGCACTTCTTCCTAGCGCATGCTATTTCTCACACCATCTCGCGCTAAGGCCATGTAAAGCGCAGAAACTGCTGCGGCTTTGGCTCCTGTATGCTATGTACACAAATGTATGCAAGACGCAGTACGTAAAACGTGGCCTTTGAAATCTTCCGTAGAGGGCTTTCCATCAAAAACTGTACGACAATCGTCACGATCCTAGTGCTCCGTTTTCCTGTGCTAATGGCTGCAAAAGTAAGTCAAATGCGGGACCCACAGGCAGCGTGCCATTCCTTTGGAGAGCCTTGCACAGCGACTCCACATCCAGCTCCTTCACCTGAGAGAATTTAGACCGGCAAACAGTTGCAGGGCATCTCATAATGGCATAAAATGGGTTACCAAGGGCCGATGCTCGAAGGCCAATCATGTAGCCGCAGACTGCTGGAAACATGACTGTAAAGACAGCAGCGACGCATGAACCTGGCACACGGTACTCCATCAGCAGTCCGCCAGCAGTTCCCACCTCTTCGAATGTAGAGCATGCGCCCGTAGGAGAGGCTGACGATTCTTCCACAAGGCTGCATTTGCTTTGCATTGGGCGCAACTGGGTGCTGCTGCCTCTATCTGTCCGGCGGCTGACAACCGAAGCTTCACCTCTTGAGCTTGCAAGAATTAGCTTTGCTTCGTCGATTGCCTTTTCAAACGCAACCTGAACTGCCACTGACAAAAGCCTAGTCCTGAAAAACACATAAACACTACTCGCAAACCTGCCTCACAGAAATGGTAAGCTTGTGATGTTCGCTCAGAAATGGTAGGTTGCGATGTTAGCCGCAGGTGAGAATACACCTGTTCAGTGGAAGCCTACGCTGCGGGATCTGTCGTTGTGCAGCCTACACGACTCAGGTAATAGTCAACAACCTCATCAAGTATCTGCAAAGCGAGGACAACAGGAATATTACAACCGCGTGTGAGGACGGCGGAAATTGGATAAAAAATAATGGCGAAAAGAACAGTCAAGAGCGTCACTCACCGCGGGCTCATGGGCAGAGAGCTTCTGCAAAAGTTGTTCATCACGAGGACCAAGAATTTCCTCTAAATCCAGGACTGACTTGTCCATGGTTGTTGACTGCCGATCAGAAGAGTTCTGCTCCGTTCCTCAATACGGATCAACGAGTCCTGGGTAACTCCGTCACCAAGAAGGTAAAAGCGTCACAAAAGTGCTGACTGAGCTCCTACTATCCTTTGGAGAGCGTCAAGTAGCATAACTGGCTCCATGTCAGCACTCCATACGGCTCTCGTCAATTCATCTTCGTGCGCCTAAGTAGGGCCTGCCGTTTGGGTTGGCAGCGCGGCGATGAGGAGCTCACTTCTCCCTGAATGTACAGATTTTCGAGTAAGAAGAATTATAAGTAGTGCAAGGAGAAGCAGCCACCCATGCAAGCAGCAAAACTGGTCGCGGCCTACAGGAGGCAATGTGGCACAGTCAACACAAAATAGGCCCCCTACAGGCCACTTCTTCATTCACAAGGATAATGCAGACAGCAGTTTAGTTTGGTAGCGCGCTAAATGAGCGCGATAGAAGCAGACAACCTAGTTTTTTCCAGATTGGCGTTGCTGAAGTTGCATGCAGCCCTGCGCTGCAGGTCCCAGTATGGCGGTACACTTCTTTACCTGTCAAACTCTTTTCTTTTCTGCTGAAGAGGTTTTGAATACCACACTATAAACCAGCTCACTGTAGCCGTGGCTGCCCTGCAGCCCATATTTTCGCCGTGGTAGTTCTCCCAACTGGACCACCGCTCTGTCTTGAAGAACAACAAGTGCACGTGTTATTCCAGGTTGCCCGTTAAAGTCTTTCTTGATCAGCTTTTTTGGGTACTGTTTCTTGACATTTCAGGAGCTTTATGCTTTGTGAAGGTTAGATCCCAGGACTTATCGTGCGCCGACGGGAGGGCTACTGCTCATCAAGTTGACTTCTGGCGAATGAATGTACCCCGCGAGCACTTGTGTGGCATTTCTTTTATCCATGACAGTTATGTGTTTATTTTTTAGTCAGAAAGGGAACGTGACCACCACAAGAGGCTTCCTGGTGTATCCGATGGGCTTCCTGAGTGGGTGCGTTGCAGCAATGGCGGCTCCTACAGCTGGAACCGTCAAACAAGACATAAACAACTTGGGTAGCTTGACTCTGGACCAGTGTAGCTCACTAGTACGACGTGCGGAAGCGGTGAGCACCTTTGAACAAACCCTTGTTTCACTATCAGGTTTTCTGGAATCCAACAAGCAAAATTTTATTTTTTTCCCGCGATGTACAGCTCCTTCAAGGCTCGAAAGGCAAATAGGAACCAGAGCCTTTGCTTTCTACACATTCGTGTTCACAGTGCTGGTGTGCGGTTACGTGAGCTTGTATGTTTTATCCTATCTCTTCGTGAACGTTGCTCCTGCTGTCCGCAGGAAGTGGAGAATCTGTCAAACCACTTGTCGCAGCTCAAATTCGCGGCATCTCGCGTCTCTGAGGCTCGTGAAGCAGTGATCCAGCTTGATGCGTACAGACAGAGGCAGAAAGAGGGGGAAGCGCCCGAAGTTCTCGTGCCACTCACAGGAGCACTCTACGTCAAGGTTGGAATGGAACGCCGCTTTGTCACACATGATAGTTTCTAGTTTTGGGGATGCTGACAGCAAGTACCCGTGGCTTGGGTGGAGTTGTTAAGTACGTGCTTGAGCTGTCCCACAGCTTTGATTTACATACTGGTCTTCAGGGTCGACTTGACTGCGATGACAAAGTTCTTGTCGACATCGGCGCAGGGTACATGATCCAAAAGACATATCAAGATGAAAAGAAAGATGCAATGAGGTAAGGCTGGATTTGCATGGCGGGATGTGCTTTAGCGCAAGTAAATAACATTCAGTCTCATTGCACGGGCTCATCCACATTCAACTCTCCACGTGCAGCAGCATTGTTCCTACAGAGTAGTGGTCACAATAATATACAGTCATGGCGCCAACTGCTGTAGATGTATTTTGCTGATTCTGGTGATGCTCCACAGGATTTTGACGTTCATGTCAGAGCAACAAGCGAGGCTTGAGAAGATAATTAGCGATAAAGTGAAGCAGCTGCAAGTGCTCGTGGCAACGCTGAACCGTTCGAGGGACGAAGCACCTTCTGGGGCGTCCGTTGCTCGTCGGCAGCCGGCATCAGCATGATTCCACGTTTATGCAAACACAGTGTCAGCCAACAATAGCTGAATTCTGTATGGATTCCACCGTCTTTTCTTAATCCCGGCTCCTTGGTTTGGTGAAATAGAGGACGCGCAGTGTGTTTCCTTGCAAGTGGTTTGCTTGTGGAGCTAGTTTCTGGGATTCAGTAATGTCAGGAATTTGTACTACGAAAGGCAGAGCTACGTCTACCTCATGAATGCGACGCTTGGGGTAGAGAGGAAGCGTAATGTTTCTGCGCGTATCTGCGCTAGTGGCCCTTTGCATTCACCGTGTCCTGTCTTAAAGTGCATCAGTCTGCACCTGAAGAGGGCCAGAGATATGGATTATTTCTTTTTGAACGAAACTGTGTTAGTTTCAGCGCACTATATTGACGACTACCCTGTAGAGACAAGGCTGTCGCATATGCCGTGCAATTAGACTGAATATAAGGGTCCAGAGACACTTACTGCATGCAAGACAACCGAATTGGCTAATCTTGGACGGTTTTCGTCTGACAGTTGTGTTCTAGTTAGTGTTGCCGTGTTTAGTGATGGCCTCTAGCAGCGGCGTCAGGGCAAGCCTACAAGAAGGGACGCCTAATGGAAGAAAAGGCATTTGGCAGAGGAGCGTGCAGCCAGAGTGCTGCTTCAAGAGTTTGGGGCCGTCACGAAGCAGTCCAGCCACTCCGTTGGAAGGGGGCAGGAGCAACAATATGGAGCTTGGGATAAGAAGGCATCGTGGTACGGAATGACTGAAACGTACTGAGTTGGAATTTGCATATCCCGGTGCAAACCTAGGGTAATGCGCAGCCTACACCGGCCAGTGCTGCCTTCGAAGAGCAGAACACAAGTTTGGTTCTTAACGCTCCGTTTTCCGGCCAAGCGACCTAGCGAGCAGCTGCCCACTGCAACGGCTTGCTCCGCATATTCTGAATCGCCAGAGAAAGACCTTCGGGGTTTCGCGTTTGGATTTAACGCATATGACCTTGGGTATCCAGCTGATTGAACCCTCAACTTGCCTGTTCGCTGGTTGAGGCAGGAACTGACTCCAGGACGTAATGAGAAGTGCAAGTCTTCCTTGAATATTTGTGTGACTGTTGGCTTTTTTGAAAAAAGGTAGAATATCAGCATGCGGCGAATACGCACAAGTCCCCGCTCATCGGGGACAGGCAACACCACAGGGGATGTGCTACCAAAAAGCCCAAGCTGCAGCAAGTATGAGTTTGGTTTTTCCATGCAAGAAGAGGCGGGAGGATCCTGAAGCGAATCCAGGAACAGCATGAGGCGCCACTGATGCAGTGCGGCGGGCAAAGCAATGTCGTACGGCTGAGAACGTGGCGCTGACTGGATGGCTTCGCCTCCACGGAACGTTATCAACGCTCCTTGAGCATCTTTTGTCAGCGAGGTGTCTGAGTACTGTCTCCCTGCAGCATGTGTATCGGCCTCATCGCTTCCCTTGTCGCCCAAAGCTACGAGAATGCTGTCGTCTTCTGCAACTTCTGAAGCGCCGTCGGAGAGTCCATCAGCAGACCCGACTGTGGAACTTGGCCAATGCGTATTTTGACACGAGTTTTCGAACGCTTGGAGCAACTCCAGTAGGTCGGGGTCATTCATAAGAAAGCTGCCCTGATGCAGAATGCGAAAACGTGTTGAGGCACCACGCGTGCACCATAGTGAAAACGAAACTGCGTAACTGCTGCACACGGCAATATGAGAATTTTGAAGGTGCAAAACAGCCCCAAGGCAAAGATTCCACCTTACCTGAATCGCGTCTAGTATGCCAGTAACAAAACAGAGCTTCCCAGCATCAGCGCTGATATGCTGGCCAGTTTCCCTGGCCATTTCTGCCTCAAGCTGAATGAGCTCCTTTTCGGCCAAGTAGAGAGAGTAGCACGTACCACAGACGGGAGACTCTGCTGACAGCTGTTGCTTCCTAGCCTGATGGAAGAACAGTATTTCTACACCCCTTTTGCGCATATGGTGCTGAGCCTCCAGCATCATTCGGTGATTCAGCATGCGGTTCAAAGATTTCTTGCTCCGACTTAGTCCACACATCGCGCACACAGATGGTTGAGCTAAGGAGGCTTGCTGCTTCCGGAGTAGGGCGGCACTAGCTTTCAAGGCCTCATCAGGAGGCTCATCGTCTGTGTCTCTCCTGGCTGCATCCACTTTTAAAACAGAATCAACAAGAGGTCCAGACTTTCTTAAGGTGAAGGATTTGACCTGATGAACCCTCAACAGCAATCATGCAACGCACATTCTGTAGGCCAGCTGACTTGCAGTTTGAACGTTGGAATGCTGAAAAGGGAACCTGCCTGACAGTCCCACAAACGCACCTGCAGGAAATACAATTTGCCGTTCCACCCCTTGACTAAGTCCACCACCAGTGACTCCAGCCATACTTTAAAAAGCGTCTGAGTCAGTAGCGCCAATTTTTGAGCGATTCTGGAGGCCTCAGATAAACTTGCTCCAGATAAGGTGAACACGTCGAATGTGCTACAGGCGTCAATTCGTTGCTGCGCATAAGCTGCTGAATCGTCTTCATGAAGGTCGTAGTCGGTTTCGCTTGGCCTCCAGATCGGGAATATGTTGTCGCAACTTACACAGAACTGCCCAGTAATATCTAAGTTGGCATCGCGGCCCTCTTCGGGAGTCAGCTTGTTGACCAAGGTGAAACCAATCGGCATACTCCCTGCCCGCCATGCTGCTCTTGTCAACTGACACCGCGAATGCTTCTTTCCATGAACGAAGACCTTCAAGAACCACGCACAGTCCTGGCGGAGAAAACTTTACGGTAACTGAAATGCTTAGTATTGACACAATGGTACCAGACCTCATGTATGGGCTACGTTTCAGAATTCAGACTGCGTTTCACTTGCGTCTGTATGTAGTGGCTCAGAAAGGGATCAGCGGGAATATGAGCATAGTCGGCTGACGGACAATCAACGCACAGTGTGACGTGGTGGTGTCGTGAGCGTCGTGGTTAATAATGACGCACTTGGACAAGACGCTCTGACGATGAATCTGCTAGAAAGGCAGCCGTGCTGGAAAGATCAAGCGCTTTCGTGATATTCCGATTTGCCGCTACGTAGTGTTGTTGTTTTACTACAGCTGCTGGAACAGCCATTGCCATTTGGATTGTACGACGTTGGTCACTCCGCAGGGATTGGGGGGCTGAACGCCGCATCATTTTGCCGCCAGGGAACCCTGACGAGGCCAGGTAGAGTGCCGCATTCCTCTCAAAAAGTTTAGACGCAGTGAAGTCTTCCTTTATTAACCAGCCGTTCCAGGCATTTTCAGGGAGAGACAGGCTTTGTGAAGACGAGCTATCCGAAGTTAGGGCCAGGGAATTGTTCGTTATGTAGTAGCATTCAGTTGATGTTGCATAAAGTGTGTCTGGCAGTAATATGTCGAGGTTTTTGCACAAACGATCAACAAATGCAGGCGATTGCCTCCGATGCTTCACAAGAGCCTTCCACCATCCTGTGGCGGGCTGTGCAGGCAGCTCGAAGTAGTATTTAGGATTGTTATGCGAAAAAGTAAAACGGGATTTAAATTTGACATAGCGTGATTTCCTAGCGCCATTGAGCGCTGCCACGTGCTGTGCTTTTTCTGTCGCCAAAGAACAGCTACTGGACCTGTCCCGTTGTGATCTAGTACTCCATTTCCCTTCAGGATGTACAAAAGTGCGGTTTGTGGCTGTTTGTGGCCTCTTTCTCTGTAACATGCTCTGTACAATGGGCATTTCATTCTGTTTGCTGTCCGTACTATCGCCACCACCTTTTCCTGCTCCATTTCTCATTTTGGCTCTCATCAACTTGTGCTTTGACGCTTTCAGTGAAATGTGTCAAGTGTAGGCTGTAGGTGTGTATATCACCACGCGACTTCGATGGTCTTTCCACATTAAAGTTCGCTGTACGTAGGTCCTCGAGTATGGGCAAACATAAGGTACTCTACAATATCTTTGTTCAATAAAGAACAAGACACAAGAGGTGTAGCACTTGGCAAAACAGCCAGCCCCGTGCACTGTACTGTGCCTGCTCTGCCAGAGAAGAGCTAACGTATATTCGCTGCGGTTATAAACCATAAAATTCACGTAGTGTAGCAGAAAAGATTTAGGGAACTAAAGCTGAGTGAGCGAGTGCTTGTTGGGCGTAGTGTGCTCCCAGCAGCAGAGCAAGAGCATGGGCAGGGTACTGAAGCTTTTTAGCTGGAATCTGTTGCTGGAGTTTCTGCTTAGTAGTGGGCAGCAGAAATGATGCCTCATACATTTTTCATAGCATTATTCATATATGTGGGGGCATATTCATGGCAGTTTATCGGGGAAGAAGAGCCAAAGTGGCAGAAGGCAACGCAAATGAAGGTCACGTTGGAGTGACCTGCTAGGACATGGTACCTTAGCAGCGACGCGTGACATTCAACGCAGTAAAAGGGACCTTCTTCACCTTTAAGTCGAAAGTGCGAGTAAGAATGTCTTTAGACGAGCCCTCGCAGGGTAAGGATCATTTCAACAGAAACTGGGGTTTCTGGTTGCATCGGTGGCTGCTTCTACCGCCAACACAAGTGACTGCTCAGCTTTGGTGGCTACTTTAAAGAAGAACAATGCTCGAGCCTGCTTGGACAAAGCGAGACAAGATGTAACTCCTCCGGAGCATTTTTATGGAACTGTAAGATGTGGGGGATACGAAACCTGCTTTCTTGGTAAAGAGGTGTTCGTGCCCCAGTCGATCTTCACTTGCATTGCACTGCATTCACCTCTAATATAGCGGTACGTTTAACGCATGCGCGTCGATTGCACCTCTCACATGTTGAATTAGGGCTCTCCGTGGAACGCTGCAGGTTTTTGCACTGCTGGGATCAGGTTCTGCGAAATTCCAACAAAACATGAGACATGGCTTGCCAGGAGGGCCAGAGGTTTGTTTATTTTATGTGTAAGCATCAATAATATAGCACGTGGAAACTTCAGTTCTGGTTGATTTGTTAGGCTGACAAGTACAGTAGCATCCGCTTTAGCTGGTTCTGCAAAGCTGCCCATACAATTATTGACTTTTCCCCACGTCCATGACCTATAGTGCCTTCCTTCTTCAGACCCCACTTTCTTCGGTTTAGTTTCCGTATGGCTGTGTGGCACCGTCCGTCCAGCTGAAGCTACCCACCTACTTTGTCGTGGCGTTGGTGCAATTGCACTACCTCGTGAAGCTCCTGCTCACAGTGCTTCCACGTCTGCCTCCCGACAACAAATCCCTCATTTTCGCGCTTCATGATGTAAACCAAAAAGTGTTGAGCTCTTTTGGGGTACTGGTTTTCAGCATCTACTGTTCTCCACAGTACAGGTACTGCTTTCGCAGAGAGCATTGTAAACCTAAGACCTTTCGCCTGGTGACGTAGAACCTGCAAAACAGACCAAAGGCTTCTTATTATAGGTTTCGCCCGCAGCTGCGAGAGGTCCCATTAGGATACTTTTCTGATTTCCAGGGAGAATGCACAATTAACTTGCATTCGCAGATCAGGAGTGGCAGGCGCGACAGCTTGGAATAGCTTTGCTTGACTGCCAGGCTGCAATTATATGCCAGTCTCGTCAGCTCTGTTGTTGTGTCTGGTAATCAATTAAGCATTCAATGCAATGCGCCGTGCCCAGTGGCCATTCCACCAGACGGTCAACCAAATTCTCTGTCCTGGATGCAACCCTTTTTGTCAGCAATCCTGAGCGGCTCGATGCACCCAAATGCGGCCCTAATTCGACAACTTCAAAATAACTGTCATAAAGTAACATTAGCACTGAAAAACCGACGGTGGTGGGCCTCCGAAGGTTCGGGAGTACAACACGCTCAAATCATCCCTAAAGGCGCTGCAGTGCCTGTATCTGATGACTACGTTGACAATGAAGAATGGCGCTGCATACGAGTGGGTTGATCAGGCCACCACTCGTCATGCGGTTCGCAAAGCCAATGCCTACATCAGGCCAACACCCTATTGATTGCAGAGGCGCAAGTAGCTCGGAACCGAAGCATGCCGATTGCGTTTCCCTCCAGATCGCACTTGGGCTGTCAATGCGTGGAGCTTATATTCCAGCAGACGCTGAGGAATTAGATAAACGATTGCAGCCTCTCTCAGCACTGCATAATGGGGAAGCACAGAAAACACATCACTGGAAAGGGCGCTCGGTTTATAAGTAATTGAGAGATTTTCTGCCTTTGTGTGCCTCGAGCACAGCACTGCAAAACAAACGGCAAAAAAAGACTCTTGAGTCCAGGTCAAGGAATCGAATGCGCTGCAGGCGTTGCCATTCGCTGCCATGCGCTGGAAACAGCTGCCTATGAAAGCCAGAATCCACAGCTGGGAAGGCACGCTGCGCGCTTGGTTCTTAGAGTCAAAAACCACAGCTAGCAAGGTACTATTTGCACTCATTGCAGTGGACCGCTCGTAATTTTTGGCGGTTTAAATCATGTTATTCGTGCGGTCACCTTAAGTAACTACCCCAGCAACAGGCTAAGAGGAATGCATATGCCTGCCACAAAAAAATGTCATGCAGCTGGAAAGTCAAAATCAACGCATCCAGCGTAGAACCGCGCGGCCGGCAGTTCATAGCTGCTGCTTGACAGCCAATGGCCGAAAACTGTACACCGCCACGGGGCGGCAAATATAGCCTACACGCATGTTTGCTTTCTATAGTGAAGCAAAGTGAAACCCTGTTTCGCCAGGACGACTTTGAGTTGAAGGAACAGCATATTTCATTTATGTGTAGCGCTGTTGCCACGCCCACGTCACATCGCCCTTTGAAGAAAAGCACCTGCTTCATTGACGTCGAACTGCTTTTTTTAATCGTATGGTCCATGGCAACGCTAGCTAGCTACGTGGAACTGGGGCAGGCCTCCAACTGCGTCCTGTAAGGCACAGCATTAAGAGCTGTCCTTCAGTTGAATTCACCCAACGACGGGCCTGAAAGTGCGTGCACAGTGCAACACCAAAGCAATCCAGCTAAGGCCATGCAGCGAAATGTCCCACTGAAACAAAAACGTCCCACCCATCAAAGCGAGGCAGAAGGCCCCTAGCCACAAGAATACAACAATAACAAGGAGTGTGCGTTTACCTGAGGGAACAGCTGCCCATGCTCGTCCATCAGCGCCCTTGAGGCTTGTTGATCAAGCAGCCGGTGCTCCTGCTGCAGCATCGCAGCCTTTTGACAGCGTTCCCGGATCGCGAGTGCAGCGACAGCACGCTGTTGGTCGTCAATAAGCTGTCTTAACGTACGTGTGGGCCGAGCTGCGCATACTGCACTGGGCGAAAGGTAGCCGCCATTTCCCAATCTGGAGCTATGAGCACGTCGTAAACAGACACATGAGCGATATTCAAACTCAATACGGCTACTCGGACTCCATGTATAGCTGTTATGGCCTTCGTCTAAAGCGCCCCGTGTTGCATCGCAATCTTCTCCTGTACAAGGCTCCTGTGGCGACACAGTGCGCGCGTAAGGAAGTCTCATAACAAACGTTAGCGTTCGGCAGACAGTAAGACAGGCGGAAATAGACAGACGAAGCAGCAAAGCCAACAAAGGAACCCTCTGCTGCTCCCCGAGCGCAGCAGGGGCATATGTTTGATTCCAGTGAGTGTAGCTCGTCTTGAAGGAATTAATGTCATCTGGAGCTTTTTGCACACGTTCATGATTGACCCTTGCGTGGTGCTTCAT